TTCGCGCTCCGCGCGCGCATGGCGCTGAGCCTGAAGGGCCTGAGCTACGAGTACATCGAGCAGGACCTGTTCCACAAGAGCGAGCTCCTCCTCGCCTCCAACCCAGTGCACAACAAGGTGCCCGTGCTCATCCACAACGGCAAGCCCATCTGCGAGTCCCTCGTCGTCGTGGAGTACGTCGACGAGGTCTGGCCCGGCACCGCCATCCTCCCCGCCGACCCCTACGGCCGCGCCGTCGCGCGCTTCTGGGCCGCCTACAACGACGGCAAGCTGTTTCCGGCGTACGCAGGAGTGATGAAGGCGGCGACGGAGGATGAGAGGACGGAGAAGGTGAGGGAGACGCACGCCGCAGTCCTCAAGCTGGAGAAGGCCTTCGCCGAGATCAGCTCCAGCGGCAACGGTGCGGCGCCCTTCTTCGGCGGCGACTCCGTCGGGTACCTGGACCTCGCGCTCGGGTGCTCCCTGCCCTGGTTCGGGGCCCTGCGCGCCATGTTCGGCGTCGAGGTCATCGACGCCGCTCGGGCTCCGCTGCTGGCGGCGTGGGCCGAGCGGTTTGCGGAAACCGCGGTGGCCAAGGAGGTGCTGCCGGAGCCGGACCAGGCTGTGGCGTACGCCAAGAAGATTCAGGCCTACCGGGCTGCTTCTGCTAAAAAGTGATGCTGTCAGAGTACTGAGTCCTGTAATAATAAATTGAAGCAGAAATCTCAAGACGATCAATCTGTACTCCTAATGAAGATTATAACTTTGTCAATTTGTCATTTACCAGCTATCGGCAACACGATTTCATCATGACAGTTCAGTGTAACAGAACATTTGTTGAGTTGTCAAGGATTCAGCACTCGTTTGTAATTGTTAAGGTACCCGTTTCTTGGAAGATGCACGCTTTGGCTAGCTATTGAGAGCAAGATCCTGCTTGCTGTTGAGGCACATCTCATGTGAAGCAGAGTATCATGACCACCTCATTTTCTCACATACTATCATTGAGACAATGAGCACTAAGGATTTGTACTCCTATTAACAGTCCAATCATGGTGAACAAAGAAATTTCTTCACAGAGAAAGAAGAATGGTGAAATAGACAACAGGAAATGGACCAAAAAAAAAACTTTGCTTCTCAGTCATTTTTTTTTTTTGAAACGCAATGGCAGAAGCTCTGCCTTTCCATTAAGATAGGAAAGAGAGTTTATATACAAGAGCTGTAGAGATCCCCGAGCAGGACAAGGGGGTAAAGAGGTGAAAAAATTGTACAGTCGTCTAGGACGATTACTCTCCCAAGAATGAGCCATCTTCTTCTGAAGGATGTCCTCTTTCGTTCTTGAGGCCACCTGCATTGCCGTTTCGTGGGTGTTTGTGAATATTCTTCTATTTCTCTCTTTCCAAATGTTCCAGACGGTGTAGATTACCAAGCTGTTGAAGCGCTTTCTGTCATCCTTGGTTATCTTGGATTGGACCTCTTCCCACCATGAGATCAAATGGGTTGGATCTTCGGCCGGGAGGATTATGCTCGCATCGAAGTGTTCCCAATGTAGAATGAGATTCCATACTGCTCTGGTGAACGGACAAAGCAAGGCTAAGTGGAGGCACGTTTCCAACGGGCCGTTGCATAGGGCGCATCGGTCTTGGTGTGGCCAACCTCTCTTTTGTAGATTATCCGCAGTGAGGATTTTCTCTTGCGCCATGGTCCAGACGAATACTTTGCACTTGTTTTCAGTGAATGCTTTCCATATGAGATCACTCCGAAATGCTCTGTAGGAACCGCAGAATTGTATTCTGTAGGCCGATCGGGTGGAATAGGCTCCGTTGGCTGTCCATTTCCAGGTAATGGTGTCTGGAGTGCCCGGCGTTAGGTGGATATCTTGCAACCTATCCATAACGAGATGAATTCCTCCACCTGCGATGCTGTAGTGATCTGGCCCCTCAGAGCGGCGACCCAGCCATTGTTACAGAGCTCAAGATGGATTGACCTATTTTTACATCTCACTAATTCAAATAAATTGGGCGTAAGATGCTTTGGAGCCTCACCGTCTAGCCAGCTGTCATGCCAGAAGCGAGCTTTTTGCCCATCACCAATTGTGACTCTCGTAGATGCATTGAAAAGTGCCCGATCTACATCGTTGCAGGGAAGCTCCATTCCAGCCCAAGGTTTAGAAGTGTCCACCCAATCCTGCCACAGCCATCTCAAGCGCAATGCCCTGCTGAACTTGTTAAGGTCAGGTATTCCAAGCCCCCCGAGGTCCTTTGGCCTAGTTACTGTCGGCCAATTAACAAGGCAGTGCCCCCCATTGGCGTTTTCCTCTCCTTTCCAGAGAAAGGACCTTCTAATTTTGTCGATGCTTTTTCGAGCCCAAGCCGCCAATGGGAATACCGTTAGATGATAAGTTGGCATTGCTGAGAGAACGGATGAAACCAGGGCGAGGCGACCGGCTCTGTTCAACCATTTTCCTTTCCATCCAGGCAATCTTTGGCCGATCCGCTCGATGAGCGGCTGGACGTGTACCTTCCGTAACGAACGCGTGTGGAGCTGCAGGCCAAGGTAACGGCAAGGGAAAGAGCCCCTGATCCCTGCAAAGGAGGTTAGCTCATGGTCTAGATCTATCTCGTCGCATCTGATCGGGTGAACGGAGCTCTTTTCCAAATTTATGTGGAGGCCCGATATATTCCCAAAGTCCTGGAGAATCACCTTGATCGCATCTATGTCTTCCTTTCGAGGGTTTATAAAAATAGCCGCGTCATCTGCGTATAGGGAGGTTCTCCATCTGGCCGTGGATGAGGGGACCGGGGAGAGGGCGCCCATCTGAGTAGCAAATTCAAGAATATGCTGGAGTGGATCCATGGCGAGGATGAAAAGCATTGGCGATAAAGGGTCGCCTTGGCGAACCCCCCTGGCGTGGTGGAAGCTCGGTCCTAGCAGGCCGTTGAGCATTACCCTCGACGTGGCTGTGCGGAAAAGGATGGATACCCATTCACACCATCGTGGCCCGAAGCCAAGAGCGCATAGGACCTCTAGCAGGTAGCTCCAGTTCACCGTGTCAAAAGCCTTGTGGATATCGAGCTTCATGAAAAGTGTGGGCATCTTTTCCTTGTGCATTTTTCTCACCATTGACTGTACATATAGGAAGTTGTCATGAATACTTCTTTTCTTGATGAACGCACTTTGGCAGTTGGAGACTAAGGAGTTGAGGTGGGGGGCGAGTCTGTTGGCCAGGAGTTTTGCAAAAAATTTTGCAAAGCTATGCATGAGGCTAATTGGCCTGTAGTCCATGATTCTCAAGGCGTCTGTCTTTTTTGGAAGCACGACGATGTTTGCCAAATTCATTAACTCAAAGCCTTGGGAATGCAGTTGGAAGAGATTGTTGATCGCAGCCAATAAGTCGTCTTTGATTATCTCCCAGCATGCCTTGAAGAAGGCCCCCGTGAAGCCATCAGGCCCCGGGGCTTTCTCGGATGGCATCTCGAGGACAGTACGTCGGACTTCGTCCTGAGTGAATGGTAGCTCCAGCTGCTGTAGGTTTCTTGGAGTATAGCCCAGCGCCTGCCAATTTAAGGACAAGGTCCTTGCTGTAGAGTCTTGTGTTCCCTATTTTCTCTTTCCGCCATTTCTTCAGGCCCTTTGCAAGTCTAGCCATTTTGATGTGTAAACGCTTGATGGGTAGCATGGTGTTGAGTGGTTTCCCCCATTCAGTTTGCACCACTTCATGGAAGCCTTCCATCTTGGTCCAGAAATTTTCGAACCGGAAGAAATTGTTGTTGAAATGACCAAGTGCACCGTGGAGTAGCAGTGGTGTGTGGTCTGACATGAGGGATGGGAGGGAGTGGAGAAAGCACGATGGGAAGAGCAGCTCCCAATCTGGAGTGCAAAGAAGTCTGTCAATCCTAGTCATTGTGGGGTTGGTTTGCTCATTGGTCCAGGTGAAACGGCGGCCGTTTAGCTTAATCTCTTTGAGCCCCAAATCATCAATTGTCGCCTTGAAGGAGCCCATGAGGCGGCGGTTGAGATTTGTGTTATTCTTATCATCCGCCTGGTAGATCAAATTAAAATCTCCAAGGATAAGCCACCGCTGATGACTGGGCGCGGGGATGTTTTTGAGCTCCTGCAGGAAAAGGATCTTATCATCATCCCTTTGAGGCCCATAAACAACCGTGATCTGCCATTGAGTGTTGGTGGCCCTCATGGTTATAGTTGTTGTGATTGCATGCGTGGTCAGAAGGACGTTGGATAGTTCGAAGTAGTTTTCATTGACTGCCAGCAGGATGTCCCCTCTCGTCTGAACAGCTGGTAGTACAGCGAAAGAATTCGCGAAGCATTGTCCAACCGTCCGGGTTACTATGTGTGCGTCGAGCTGCTGCAGTTTGGTCTCTTGCAGGCATACTATGGTAGCGCCGGTATCTCTAACTAGCTCACTGACGGCGTCGCGCCTTGCAGTCTTAAGCACACCAAAGGGTTCTCAGTCAAATGAATTTCTGTACAATTTGTCACATGTATACAACAAAATTTGTTTGGATGATCAGCAAGTCCTCTAAAAGGCAGACGCTAATCGCCGGGTAGAGTTGGTGTAGGACCTAGCTGTCTACAAACTAAGAGCATTTAGAAGTGTGAAATAGACAACAGGAAATGGACCAAAAACCATTGCTTCTCAGTCAAATGAAATTTTTTTTTGATCCGAGTCAAATGAATTTCTGTACACTTTCTGTCACATATATACAACAAAATTTGTTTGGATGATCAGCAAATCCTCTAAAAGGCGGACGCTAATCACCGGGTAGAGTTGGTGTAGGACCTAGCTGTCTACAAACTAAGAGCATTTAGAAGTGTGAAATAGACAACAGGAAATGGGCCAAAAACCATTGCTTCTCAGTCAAATGAATTTTTTTTTTTGATCCGAGTCAAATGAATTTCTGTACACTTTCTGTCACATATATACAACAAAATTTGTTTGGATGATCAGCAAATCCTCTAAAAGGCGGACGCTAATCGCATGGTAGAGTTGGTGTAGGACCTATCTACAAGCTAAGAGCATTTAGAAGTGAAACTCTGCTCTGGATCAACCTCCTGAACAAAGTCTCAACTCCGCTTTCAAGGTCCACAATGTCCAACTCCAACATCTGCAATTGCTCCTGCTCGCACACAACTCTCTTCTTCTGGAAAGCCTTGGATACAAGAGACCATTTGCCAGGACTTGGCATTGCAACTTGCTTCGACAAGAGTTGCAGTGTTGATTCGAGAATTGTGGCAGCTATCTCTCTTGCTTCAGACAACAGCTTGACCACCCTGCTTCCTTCAATGCCAGAGGCAGCCTTCCTGTTGATTTTTTTGCACTGCTTCTGCGCCTTCTTGGCGGAGCGAGCATAAGACTGAACCCTGGCCTGAACAGCCGCTTGATCTCCTCTTTTGAGAGCCAATTGAATCTCCAGGATGATGGTCTTGAGCTCTGCGAAGCTCTCTTGCATGGCATTGCAGAGGTCGAGCAGGACGAGAGAGCTCTCGAGCTCCTCCTCCACCACCTTCCTCTGACTGCTGGGAAAGCATGTGAGCTCATCGATGCAGCTGTATATGCTTCCAAGCTTTGTCAAACTCTCTCTCATGGTTTGGACAGTCGCAGAAGGCGAAGAGACAGTCGCCTTCAGGCTCTGCAGTTGTTCCTCGACACTGGTTTCGCTCGAGTGAGGGCTCGAAGGCACACTTGCAGATCTCAGATGGTAGGCCATGGTTGCAATGGAAGCTTTGAAGCTTCTCTTCGCTGGGAATAGAAGAGAAGGCAAGCTGCTGCTTCTGTTGCTGCAATGGTTTCTTTCTAGCCTTGAGTTTCCTCTTTATATAACGAGAGCTGGTGAAGTAGTTGAACATGAACCAGCAGACATCAAGAATCATTCATGTGTAACCAAGCGGTGACCTGCAACAGAAGACACACAACCCAAGAAGCATCCTAGTTAGTTGAGCTTGATTACAAGGCTGTCATGTCTGCATTTTTGGCAGCAAACTCACCTGCACGGGTGAAGAACGCCAAGATCAGAATCACTGCATAAGATCCAGAACATGATACGGATTAATTAAGATGCAAGTTGCTGGTGGATGAGTGAGCAGCAAGTTGACTTCACTCACCTCCAGCAGTCCAGCTCCAGGCTTCCAAGCAAGCCGCGTGTTATCATCTGATTCTAAACTGATCACATAATTACACCGTGGCTTAATGATAGAATCTGTGCCATGCCTTGACTCTATTGCTTGCTCGCAGGTGTGGCCTCCCCAATGTTTCTCCTGTGCATTAGGAGCAGGCATGCGGCTCCTGAATAATCAGCTTATCGTGCTGTCATGTCAAGGTTTCCGCCATCTCCAAACCTTCAAAACATTCTGAGAAAAATATAAGTTCTTTTTAAGTGAACAAGAGAGAAACAACGACAGAGAAGAGAGGTTGTTAATTGTGTTGTATAAGTACAACCCACTTGTTGGTTTGTTGCCCCTTAACTTTATGGGCCAACATGTTTTTGTTTTCCAAAGGTACCAGCAGTCATGTCCATGGGCTTTTATGTTTCGTTTAGCAAGGAGAGATTGCAAGAGCCCTTCCTCATTTTCAAGCTTCAACAATTACTTTCCTAAGAGACTTACATTTTTAACGTCTCAGGGTCAGTCACCTCTAAACTCCCTTTATCTACACGGGTACACTGGGGTCTAGTTATGTGTGCAATTTGCAAGTACTCAGCCTTTTCATTATAGTAGAAAGGTGGGGAAAAAGACAGTTACAAGAGGAGGCTATGTAAAGGCCAGGCCAAAGGAAACTTAAATTACAACAAGGTTACAGGTTATTGTAACCCCTTTGACAATAGGATGCATTGTTAAAACTTCGTAAAATCATGCTCTTGTCAAAGCATGGCACCATCATCCTGTATCAGCAGCACTAGTTAATCCACCGTCATTGCCTGGGATTTTAGCTATGGTACTTCTTTTCCACCATGATGTTTTGCTTTCAGTGGGTTTCTGGTCACTATTTCTCGAGCATTTTGAAACTGATTGGAAATCCCATTATTTAAGACGGTGAGAGCCACTCTAAAAGGTAAACACTACCTTAAGTTGCTTTTGATTTCCTAATGTATCAAGAACTTTGAACAATATTTATTGAAAATTTACCTTCAGTTCAGACTTCAGACACAAAAGGAAATTTTATGACAGACACACAGAATGGCAAGTCAGACAACTACCAAATGTTGGATTAAACCCTTTGAATGCCCACGAGCCCGTGTATTTCAATCAATATTGCTAAGAATCAGCTGTTCTGAACCCCTTATGAGTTTTATGTCAGGAGTCAGGACCTAGGTTATAAATAAATTTTACTCCTTTCCTCCTTTATGTGCAAAAACAATATTTCTTGTTATCATTATGTGCAAAAAAGAAATCTCACCTCTGTTCACTTCAATGCTCTGTTGAATCCCAATTCACTCCACTTCTCTTTTTATTTTTCTGAATCCCGAAAATCTCATCGAACTGTCGACGACACTGCACGCTGCATCCCAGGTAGCAGGTATGATGAGACGATGCAGCTCTTAAACGATGATGAAGAATCAAGTGGCTGGCCATAGAAGATCAACTGATCTGTGGGCTCTTGAACGCCGTGGCTGATTTTTTTTTTTTTTTTTTTTTTGGAAAGATAACAGCATAGCTGCTGTGCTAGACAGTGGGAAGCAAATCCAGGGCATCGATGCAATGAGGATTGAGGCCGAGGTGGGCTCTCACCGGATCGGCGGCATCGTCGTCTTATGCGGTGGCTGAGCTGCGACTGCGAGTCCGCCTCCGCCTCCCGCCCCCCCACACACACACACACACACACACCCCAAACGAGCTCCACAGGCAGCGGCACCGAGCTTTGGTACGGTGGCAGTTGCGCCTTGGGGTTGGGAGCGTTCGTCCTGTACACCCTCGGCTCCCGCTGGCGGTGCTCCGAAAGCACTGGTGGAGGTGGAGGTGGAGCGACGTGATGCTGGAAACTTTTTTTTTGTCTGGAACAAGGGCCGCACCACAGCGGAGGCTGCCGCTGTCCGCCGTGCCGCCCTCCGCCGTCGGCGCCAGTCGGGACTCGGGGTTGGGGGAAGAGGTCGTGGGTCGGTCAACAAATTTTGCAAATTGACCCTTATTTGGATCGCGACCTTTTTTCAAAAAAAAAAACTCCTATAATTTCTAAGTAGTGTGCAATTATGCAGAAAAAACCTAATTTGTAACTCGATCCAGTTAATAATGTTTTTAAAAACATATTAATCAAGATGCAGTTATTTGCACAGAAGCTCGAAATATTTGCAATCATTGTGCGTGGGCTAAAAGAATTGCTGCTCGTGGTCGAATCGGTTACGAACTTCTTTTTCTTTATAAAAGAAGGAGTTTATTGCTTTACAAATTTATGTGGGCTTGCCAAACTGCCAAAGACCACAAGGCTCCGAAACGGCGGCCCTGGACCTGATCTCGCCGCCGCCGGTTTTCCGGAGTCAGCCCGGCATGGACGCACAGTGCTGCTTGCTCAACAACTTCGGAGCAACCATGTGCCCTGCTTTTCCTCTGCTCCTTGAATGGCCATCCAGCCATGCTGCACATGCCACTGTTCTTGCAGAGATATAAACAATCCGGACAGTTTGCACTCGGCCTTCAATCTCCCTGCAGATGAGATCGTCTTTTGTAACATTGATATTTGATAGGCTTTTCTCACATGTGTGTAGCAAGCAGCCAAGCACGCATGGCATGGATCTCTGCAATCGTTCAGGCAGAGGCATTCCAGTCGTAACCTCTCAAGCCGTTTTATTTCAAGTGTCGCTTGATGGCAGTGGAAGGACTGGACCAGCCGGCCGGCACGGCGGCACCTGATCGATCTTGTCTTGTTCTTGCCTGCCGTGGCCGGCCTTCTCTCGGCTGTGGCCAGTGGCCAGTGGCCAGCCAGTCGTCACCTTGCCAAGTACAATGCACTCGGACCACTCGTGCTGTTGCATGCCACGCGACACGCTGGCCCATATCTCTCTGGTCTCGACTAGATTCTACTACGACTTGAATCGATCTGTCTCTACTCTGTTCTGAATGAATGGATAAAGCTCGGTAGATGGCTAAGCATGCATCATGCATTGACACAGTCCAGCATGTGACATGTCCAGCTTATACTTATTTCCCTTTTTTTTTGGAGAGGCACAGAATCCCTAAGGCCTAGTTTAGATGCGCATGTATTCGTCTCAATCCACATGAGTTGAAGTGAAATTAAATTTCATTCCATTCCACTCCAACACATGTACATTAAGATAGATACATATGCATCTAAACAAGGCCTAAAGGTCTCACCTATAAGTACATGCACGCCTATGTCTCCACTCACCACTCTTCAGTTCACTAGCTCCTGTCAAGTAGAAAGCCAACACCACAGCAGCAGCTCCTCAGAGAGAAAGAGACAGACAGAGAGACTGAGAGATCAATGGCACGGAAGCTGGGACACATGCTGACGAGGCTGCACCTGGCAAGGAGCCGATCGCCGTCGTCGTCGTCGGTGCCGGACGTGCCACGGGGCCACCTGGCGGTGTACGTGGGCGAGAGCAGGAAGCGGCTGGTGATCCCGACGGCGTGCCTGAGCCACCCGGCGTTCGTGACGCTGCTGAAGAGGGTGGAGGACGAATTCGGCTTCGACCACCGCTGCGGCGGCCTCACCATCCCCTGCGCCTCCGAGCGCGACTTCGCCCACATCGTCGGCGCCACCGTGGACGAGCACCACCGCTGACGACGACGACTTTGATCGATCGATCGTCGGCTTCCAGGACAGTGGTTTTGGTTTTCCTTTTTTGTTGAGGATTGTTGGTCCAACTTGGGATGAAGCTAAGTAGCAGTGATGTCAAGCTTTGGATTTGCATGCTTGGACCCTGTAAAGATGATGAATTTATGATGTTCCCTCTCAGAGCTTCTAGTGCTATTCGAAACCTGAGTAGTTCTTGAAGGAAGAATAAAATGAACAACAACAAACTGACAATGCGCTATAACGGCTTTGTGCTTGGCAATTTGTCTTTTACAGTTTTACTATATGAATATTTACACGAATATATAGCCAGGAATACGGAGTACATAACATTTTTAACGTGATTTTAATAGCAAATCTAATGATACACTTTTTCTCACCGTGTACTTAGGTAGGTAGGTAAATATTTAAGCAGGTATAGTTAGTCAAAGCTTTGTACAAGGAAAACGTCATACTAGTTATCAAGTATTCCGCAGAGGTTAGCATCCTTGTCTGATTAAAAAAAAAGTTGAGATGAAGAACACACTGGAACCAGGTGGACTGTCTCGTGTATAATGCACACTGATGCCAGAGATGAGTGCTAACTGCTAACATATGTTCGCAAACACAAATGCAACAAAAAACACATTAAAAAAAGGCAGGGAATAAATGAGCTGGAACTAGAAACGCAATCTGAAACACAGTAGCACAAAACACACATATGCACAACACACTTCTATGATTTATTAAGAAAATTAACATCCAAGCGTTTGTAGTCCAACGGTTAGGATAATTGCCTTCCAAGCAATAGACCCGGGTTCGACTCCCGGCAGACGCATCTGTTTTTTCCTTTTTGTTTTCCATCTCCTTTTCATCAGCACGTGCTGCTCAGATTCTTTCCCTTTTGCTCTTTTTCTTTAATTTTTTTATTTTACAGTTTGCTCTTTTAATTTTTATTTCTGTTATACTGAAAGCCATATATGG